TAATTTCTAGCTCTGCCCAGCAAACCTGTCAAATACAACCAACTCAATGTCACAGATTGCTAGAAGATCCACCTTCCTTTGCTTTCCAATTTTCTTGTGCTTTTTGTTGATATGTTTTCTGTCTAAAAGCTTTAGCTGATTTCAGAGACATAAACTATAGTTTTAAACTCAAGCAACAAGCATTTTGGGCTTTCTCACTTTCTTCTACCATGATTCTCGCTTAGCTACACAACCTCTAGACACTTATGAAGTCTACATAGCCTCTAGATATTTCTAAAAGAAATGGCAAAAAATAGGTAAGGGTTCAGATCACGAGAAATAGGAATGAAAGCGATAGATAAATAAAAATGATTAGGTAAATCTATAGATTTCTTTAGTTTTGAGAATGAAATAGTGAGAGAAAGAGAAAAAAGATCCCTAGTAATGTCGATGTAAACTATGGAGCAAAGAAAGAGGTACAACTTTGAGGAGAGAGAAAAAATTATTATCTTCTTGAACTTTTGTAACTGTAAGTATGATATTAGTAAAATATATTCAAAATATGAATGCATCACCATATGTATATTTGATAGAGAGAAAGAGGGGTGAGATTGACCTAATTCATCCCCTTTTGAACATAAAGAATAAAATCCACTAAAAATACAAAAAAGAGAAAACGGGTTAAACCCAAGTTCTATAATTAGGTATGAGTTTGGCTGAACCCGCTGACATCTTAACCTAAGTATTTTTTGAATTGAATTTTTGGGTGGAATTCAGTTAGCCCATACAAGTTTTACCCTTACTATGTGCCCATTAAAACTAACCACATGCCTCTATTTCCTTGGGCTAGCCCAATCCTACCTATTAAAGACCCATAGGCAGGAACAGGCTCTTGACTGATCGTCCGGTCGACCCAGCCAATGCAAACTCTGGATATTCACCAATACCCAAATGAAGAAAATGATGGAGAGGTGTGGGTAGGACTTCCTATCCAAATCACAATATGGATTCTCATTGGTCGAAGCCATATCACCTTATCCAATTTCTAACCCCACCCACATGCCCACCACCCATCTAATATCCCACAAGCTCACTGCACAAAACCTCCTCCTCATGAAACTGATCCTACAAACCCACCTCCACAAGTGATTTTCTCTCTCTACACTCCCTCCATGGCCATGGCAACCCAAGCTTTCCTCTTCACCCCATCTGTCTCCACCCCAAAATCTGGTGACCGAGTCGTTGCACCATGGAAACAATCATCACTTGCCTCATTCACCACTCCTAAGCCACTCAAATCCGCCGCACCACCGCGTCCTATTCGAGCATCGGTGGAGGAGACACCCACAAAGGAGGCTCCGGTGGGCTTCACCCCGCCGCAATTAGACCCAACCACCCCATCACCAATATTTGGTGGCAGCACTGGAGGGTTACTCCGAAAGGCACAAGTGGAAGAGTTTTATGTGATCACTTGGGAGTCTCCTAAAGAACAAATCTTTGAAATGCCCACTGGTGGTGCAGCCATAATGAGGCAGGGTCCTAACCTACTCAAACTGGCTAGGAAAGAGCAGTGCTTGGCACTTGGGACTAGGCTAAGGTCTAAGTACAAGATTAACTACCAATTTTACAGGGTGTTCCCTAATGGTGAGGTGCAGTATTTGCACCCTAAGGATGGGGTCTACCCGGAGAAGGTGAACCCTGGGCGTCAAGGGGTTGGGGTGAACTTGAGGTCCATTGGGAAGAATGTTAGTCCAATTGAGGTCAAGTTCACTGGCAAGGCAGTCTTTGACTTGTAAGGTAAAGGGTGTTTTAGAGACATTGTGTATGTGTGGTTATGTGATTATTCATCGATGTGTCTTTTGTTGTACTTGTATTTCTGTTCGCAGGGAGTTATATTACAAACATAAGATGGCTTGTTTGTTGTATATATGATTACAAATCTTCCATTTTTTTGACAAAAAAACTAGGAGATATAGAGTCTCTTAGATCATTTACCATTATCATTGGATAAATCTTAATGGGTTGGTCAGATTTGATCTTAGAATTTCTTGAAAAGAGCATATGGCACTGTTCCTATAAGAACATTTAGAAGCTGTTAAGAGAGAAACTGGAATAGTAGAGATAACACCTGTAGAAATGACTTCTTAGATGCATATTGTGGAATAATTTTGATTGGTTAATCCCATCAGTTCATGGATGCTTGGTAAGTATGATGATCCTGCATGTATTTCTTGTGCATATCACTGGTGGATTTGTGTTTATCACTGGTGGATTTAGAAAACCTCGCGAATTGACTTGGGTTGTAAAGTGATGTTTTGGTTGTATTGACCGCATTTTTCGTGTAACTGTCTATTCCTTACATCGGGACTACAATTGGCATTGTGTTCTTTCCTAGTCCAAGGGTGGGTAATACAGGCTTATATAGAGTGTATTAGCTTCCAGATTCTGTTTCAAATTGTACAATTAACAGGGGAAATCTAGTCTTGAACACAAACAAAGATAGACTGTCATTATATCATTCCTTTCAGGTAAGTGCATAAGCAAAAAGAAAACTGAAAGAAAAAGGAAAATACAGTAGAAAACTGAGTAAGCATAAAACAAGGGCAAGATTGTTTAGGGGTTGCACTCTTCTGTGTCTCTGTGCTTCCAGTAAGGGCTCCTTTATGTTCCGATTCTTAGGCTTTGTTGTGTTTGTAGGCAGTGCCATGACCATATATGAACCTTGCATTGCCTTCTGTGTAAACATGTGTCTCAGTGTCCAGTCTGTCAATACCCCATTACAAATCAGTAATAGCACAAACATTTGACAGAAAACTTATAATGCATAGAGATGATGATGAAAATGCGATAGGCCCTTACGATTTCCGAACAGCTTTGCTCAAGGTAGAGGCTGATGTGAAGGTTTTGCCATCTAGAAATCTGTTTTCTCCTTTAATCCTCTGTTTCATTCTCAAGTCCATTTCATCGGCATTCAGCAGAAATGGTGAATCTGACGCCTGGCATTTATGAGGATGTTTATGTTTGGATTCCTTCGATGTAACACAATTTACGAGCATATGCATTAATCAGACCAATATGGTCTGTAGTAGTATCATTAACATGCTATGCTCCTACCATTGAATTAACACAGTAATAGGGACTTTAGGAGCCTATATTCTCAGCTAATGTAATGAGAGACAACGTCACATCTATACACAATGTACCTCATATTCCTTAATCATAAATCGGTATATAGTTAGTTTTTGTAACAAGTATTTATTTTTTTCTCCCAAAACAGAGTAATTGGAAAATTCTAAATAAAATTGAACAGAATGGGGAAGTTATTATACCATGACCCATCCCCAAATGTCCGCATAGGAAGGAATATGAGCAGAGTATGCTACAACATCTGCACATGACCAGAATTGAGATAAATTATGGAGAAAATCAACAAAAGAGTCGGTAAATGCAGGTTTCCTTTGGCTTTTCTCATGATTTCTGATGATACTTACATTTGAAAACCTGCCTCAAAGTATTGTAGATGCAAGAAAAAACTTCTGTGTGGCTGAAAACACCAGCTGGTCCTGCCTGCAGTGGGTTAAAAAATGAACTCGTTGAATCTCATCTCTTCAGCCTTCATACAATTCTGGATATATTCATGCAAAATACAGACACTCAAGCACACACACACACACACACACACATATGTACCTGTGTCACGAAAACGCCATCTTGATTAAGTCTTGGTTTGACAGTGAATTCATAAAAGGATTTGGTGTAGAGCTGGTAACATGGGCCTCCTTCGATTGGGTCTGCCAAGTCCCCTATGATCACATCATAACACTCTTCTCTCCTTTCAAGCTCAGCTCTGTCACACACCCGAACAATACATTAATTGAGCACAGAATCAAATCAACTACAACCAGAAACAACATTAGGCTGTGAACAGGGTAATGAACCTGGCATCATTTATAATGAGCTCAAGTCTTGGATCACAGAAAGCTTCACTGTTAACCACCAAGTAGGACTTGCAAAAATCCACCACCTCCTGCACCATAGCATATAGACAATTTAGGGCAAATGTCACCATGTTTTAGTCCAAGTTAGCGGATCTGTGTCTAGAATTGTTAAGCCAAAGTCAAACTAAGTGGAATAATAAAGTTGGCCATTGTTTCTTGGTCCACACTAATTTTTGCTTTGTTTTGCCCTTTTTGATCATGAGTGAAATAGGCACGCGAAACGCCAATTTACCACTTGCTAAATATAATTAATTAGCTCCACTATTCTTGTCATATTCTTAATTGCTAGAAGTCATACAAGGCGGAAGAGTTGTAGGAAAAGCGCTAAAGTAAATTTGAGTTCACATTTTACTCTTAGGAAGAAGCCACAAAAAGAATGTGTTTGTGAAAGTAGTAAAAGCAAATTCGAGTTCACCTTTATAAAAGTTAAATAAATAGTAATCTCTATGTATGTACCATGTCCACCATTCCATTTACAACTCGCTCGATTAATGGGGACGAAACTAGGTAATGACCCTTTTTTAAAGAAGTTAAAATGAGAGGGAAAAACTATTTTTCTAAGGATAATGCTAGTGGGGTGCCACAAGTAAAGGATAGCAAAACTACCTCGTTAACTTTTGTGATCATTAAACATGTTATCCAATGTTGCAGTATTCAGAACGCATAGTACTAATTCTGTTCTCTTCCAAATACTGATGAAAGCTTTAAGTTCCTGAGGTTACCAACCTCAAGAAAAAGAACGAGAATAGAGTAGAGGATACAAATGAATCTAGATCCCCGGAGACATTTTCTCTTCAATTTTGTTCTTGACGGATCATCTACCATTAATAAGTGAAAGACGGATTTGTATATAATAGGTGGTCCCATTTGAATGCAAAGTAGGTGGTCGAGCGAATTGAAAAAAAAAATATTAGAGAATATCTCACTCCAACACAAATGTAAGCAAATGAACTATATATCACCTCATCAATGTCACACATGACCACCTTCTCTACAGTGTTGTGCCGCAGTAATTCTCTTGCAGTAGAACCCTCACCTCCCCCCATGATAAAGATGCTCTTGGGACTGACAATGCATATGCACAAAAGCATCAGATAACAAAGATCAAAATACTTGAAAATTCTCAGACACTCAAAAATACTGATAGATAGTTCAGAAAAAGTACTTTGGGTTGTGAAGAAGTGCTGGGTGGACAAGAGATTCATGGTAGATGAATTCATCTATCTCTGCACTTTGAAGTTTTCCATCAATGACTAGAGCCTGTGTCAAAAAAAAGAAAAAACCCAGAGAGATTTAACACTAAACAAAGAAGAGGGTATCGGAGAGAGTTTGATTAAATGTATATGCAAGTAAATGACAGACCTTTCCAAAGGGCTTTGTGTCCAAAAGTTGAATGTCCTGGAATTGAGTAGCTCCTGTGTGCAAAATGCTGCAGAAAAAAATGGAAAAATAAAATTATGTTTCATCACGTTGTTGGACGGAGAGTAAGCGTGTCCTGATACAACAATAAGATTGTTAATTGTATTTTGTGCGTCATAAGTTCGAATCACAAAGATATTTCTGTACAACGGTAAAATTGTCAAACTCTGATATGAGTGTTCAGGTGCAAGTCACTTGGATAATTTAGGGATAGAACTATACACATCTAATATTATTCGTACAATCACGATACTCGTATACACAACTTTAACTTTTTTATCTAGTTGAACTATGTAATCAAGGCCAACTTGGTTTTAATTACATTTATCTTATCTGGTCTGACTTTTTATAGACAAGACTTTTGGAAAATCACTACAGAAACTTTCCCACTTTTTGAGAGAATTTCTAGACTATGAAAGCTTAGGCCATATACTATTATAATACAAGCCATAGATTCTGAGTAAAAAGGGTAACCCAAAATCTGGAAAACACCTAGCAGACAGCTTAAACTTTTGTTTTTTCTCAACACATTGAAAAGCGTAGCTTCTTCTGCCTTAATAAAGTCTTTTAATGATTTTGTTCATGAGCCTTCCATAACTATAGAAAATAAGCAATGCTATGTGTACGAACTATTAGATTAGTGCGCTTATTATCATCTAGTGACTCATCATTTTTAAGAAAATTTTGGTGCACGTAACATTTCCGCCCTCAAAAACACATTTATTATATTAATGTGAAGGTACAGGTACAGCTAAATGGATTTCCTTAACACTATGAAATGGTGGAAGTTATTGAATTGAACAGAGTTAAATATGTGTGTGTGCATGCGTTGGGGATACCTATTGAGAGCAAAGCACCATCTCAAGTTCTCTTCAATTTCTTCTTCATACCAACAGCTCTTTCTTTGTGCTCCTCCCACCGAATGGCCATTGCCATGAAAGCCATTCCCATTGCTAATCCCATTCGAGAAAGATATGTCACCCATTTTCCTATACTCACAGAGAGAGAGAGAGAGAGAGAGAGAGAGAGAGAGAGAGAGATGATGCTAAGGGATGGAGAGAAGTGAGGCTTAGTGCACATAATATATAAGAAGGAAAGGTGGCATGGAAATCGAAAAGGAGCATGATTGAAGTTGGGTATGGAAGTGTTGGATATCTAGTAAAAGTGGGTGGGGTTCAATACTTAAGTCTGAAAAGAGGCAGAAACAATCCTCATGGATTTTCGCAACTAATAGGAAGGATAAATATTAAAAAGAGTAAAAGACCAAAGTTGAGATTTCTAAGGTGATTTGGCCGCATGGTTTTTTTTTTTTTTTTTTTTCTAGATGTCCAAATTTGTATTAACTATTCTCGAATTTTGGTCAGCTAACATAACTCGGGCTAATTTCAGGATATATCCCTAAAGAATAAAGATGGTTCATCCCTATATAAGAATTATTAAATCTAAAACTTTTTACTTACAAGAAGACATGTTTGGCCACTAGATCATTCTAAAAGTTTTGGCCGCATGGATTGTCTTAGTTCTCAAAGGATTATATATATACCAAAAATTGAGCATGATTATGCAATATTTATATTTTAAATAATAATTTATTTTTTCATTTTTTTTACTTCGGCAACTTATAAAATTGAAGTGTTCTTAAAGAAAATAAGAGAAAAGCATGAAAGAGAGAAAAAAAAAAGAAAAAAAAAGGTATTTATAGATTATTAGGGTTGTCTGGGATAGGACAATGTCTGATTATGTTATCTAGCATTGGGAGCAGTATAGAGAAGATGAAGTTTTTAGGCTAAAAAATATTTTTGTAATGAATTTTATACTGTTAAATGAAATCGGATGAATATTGAATTAAGTTCAACTTTTATTGTGATTTTATAAATGTGCAATTCAAATTGCGAGTTGTAATATTATATGAATGACGAGATAAGTACTTGTTGTGACCGATAGTATAACTTAACGTGTCACTACCGTTATGTGATATCACTATCTAGTATTAGTAAAAACATAGTAGGTAAGTGAACTCCTCACACTTCAGTAATCATTCTGCAATGTAGTTTAATGGCTGGTCTACGTAAAAAATAAAAATAAAATTTACTTTATTCATTTGATATTTTATTATTGAATAATGATATTATGAAATAATATTTATATGGGATGAGCCAATAAACCTTTGACACCTGGGTATTTATATGTTATGCATATGATGAAAACATAGGCATGTGAGTTGATCATGGGAATGGACTGATGATGCATCGCACAACCAGGAAAAAAAAAACCATATTCGACAGAGAAGGGAAGAAATCATATTCGACAGAGATTTTGGAGGAAGAAAAGGATAAAAGATGATGATTGAGGTTGTGACAATTACCGAAAATCAGGGTTATATCCTTTCTTCAGAAACTTGTGCAAACCTTGGGTTTTGGAGAGAGAGAGAGAGAGAGAGAAAGGCGTGCAATGAGAATCATGATTGGTATTATATTCTCTTGCTCAAAAGATGAAACGAGCGTGCCAAGCCAGGCGCACTCATGATCATCACCACACCATCACCATTATCATCAGACCATCAATCCTCCCCCCGACAGAAACATTTCAACCCCACCCATCATCAGTGTGTATAAATATATATATACACTTACTAATGCCATGATGTGTATGCCCAGTTAAGTTACTTCCACTTGGTTCTTTTGGATAAAGGTTACCAAATAGAGATGCAACTCCATTGAGTTGGCACACCTGTCAATCAGCTCAAATTAGCATATTTTTTAATTCACATTTATATTCAATTTGAGTGTCAACTCGGGTTGAAATCGGAATTGATTCTCGAGTTATATAACTCTACCTCAAATTCAAGTCAAAACCAAATTTATTACTTAGATTAGGCTCAAATTGTGTCATGAAAATTCGATATCTCAACCCTAGTATTATTTAAATTTAAATCGAGCTGAGATTAACCACCAATTTTTAGGTTCCAGATGAAGCCATTGGGTCATGGACATGTTTGTAACTTGTGATGTCAAAAATGACATCATCATGATGTGCCAAAAGAGTGGAGAAGCCACTACAAGGGGCATGGAAGCATGTTTTTGTTGCTGCATCATGAATTTGCAGGCCAATAACAGATGCAAAGAAGAAATTATATGTGTAGGGTTTTGTGGGTGATGATGAATGCACCCACCTCCTGTTTTGGAAAGTTATGATTTCCTCCAAGGACTTATAATCAATCTTCTTTGCTTCTTTGTTGTGTAATCTACTCTTTCACTCTGTGGGATAGTAGGGTTAGGGTAGTGTGGATGGAAATACTTCTAGATTATTTATTTCATCTCTTAGATTTGATTTTCATATATTTTGGTGTATTCAATGCGTATGATTTACAGATAATGATCACGTATAATTAATTTAGATTAAACAATCAATGAATAACACTGTTGATGTTTTGGCTTATTATGCCTTACAATGTAATGACTCGTTATTATGTAGGGAGAAGTACCCTGATTTTCTGACACTTTATCTCTGTGATTATATCCTTGTTTCGTGATTCAATAAATACATTGCTATCGTTCCATATTAAAAAGAAAATTTAGAGTTTACGTTATAAAGGCACATGTTCAAAAAATACTTATAACTAAAAATAAAAGGAAAAATTTCATTGACAATTCTTGGATTTAAGTCATATTTTACTGACACCCTCTCTGGTTTCTGAAATATCACTGAATACCACTGTCAATTTTTTTTTCTTAATAGAATACGTAATTTTACTAAATTACCTTTATTAGAACTCCCATTTTACTTAATTACTGTTACTTAAATTAATGCAAAAATAATCTATAATTTTATTACATTCACATCATTGAAATAGATTCAATTATGTAGTAACACTTGGAAATTAGTGGATTTATCCTAAGGTTCTAAGCCTATGAGATGTAAAATGGGTTTTCGAAAGAAAATATTGTTATGATAATTCTATACAAATTTTTAAAGCCCGATTAGTAGATGAGGATTTTAAGCAAGAAGAAAGTATAGATTACTTTTCACTTGTGACTAGAATAACTTCAATTCAAATTTTTACCCACAGTACCAACACCTTTTAATTTTATAAACCATTTCAAATGCCAAAATGGAATTTTACAAATCATTTCAATTAAATCGAATTCTTTCTGTTGGTAGGCCTTATGAGCTTAATGAGAGATATGCTATCTTTAAACTATTATGTTATTCCTCTCCCTCCATATGCTGTACACAATAATAGCAGAGAGGCTCAATTTTAATATTATAACTGATGATACCAAAAAAAAAAATAAAGCTCGGACATGTCAGGTCAAGTCAGCATGTGCCGAGCAAGTCAAGTTAGGTTGGCATAAGCCAAGTAGGTCAGGTTAGCTAGCTCGGTCAATCCAGTTCAAGTCAAGTCAAGTCAGCTCGATTAGATAGGTCAAGTAAGTTCAAGGTAGCCCTAATCAATATTTATTCAAATCAGGAACGGGATTCTAGAAGAAGACAAATAATATACAAACTACCAGAAGGGATAGTTTCACCATCAAACTCTACCTTGAACAAGAAGTCACCGTTTCTAAAAGATTATGTCATTATAGTAGAATGGTCTAACTCTTCGGCTAGGTGAGTGATCACTCATTTTTTCACACACTCGACAAACCTCACCTAGAACTTATCCGGTCCATCCACCTCATGCTCAATTTTTTACCCCATCAATAATCAACACAATTTTCCCTTTCTATTGTTGAACGTTGAGTTAACTTTAACGGACTAATATGTCCCTTTTCTTGCAGTTGGAACCAACATTTTCATCTTACAAAGCAAACCTAACATCTTCCGTCTTGGACGGATAAACGTTTGTTATAAGTCATAAGTCTCATTTAACGCGTGATTGACTCTATGACGTCTCAGACTGCTCGTTTTATATTTCTCAAGTCACCATTCTACGACTTGTGACAGAAGGACACTAGGGCCAAGGGGGCCTAGTCCCACCCTCAAATTTTGAATTTTTTTTTATTGATATACATGTATCAACTTTGTTAAATGTTTTTCAAAATAATTTTATTGTCCTCACCCTAATATTTTTTGTAAAAGTTAACACAATGACTGAATATATTACATACATGCTTTAGACATGTTTGTATATATTTTGAACATAATGAAACCCATTTTGTAAATTTTTAAAAAAAAATTAAGTTTCTTTAAATATTAATTCAAAAGTAGGATTATTATGTGATAAAATATAAAATTATTTTTTAAGCAATATAAGAAACATGTTAATAAAATAAAGTGAACAAACATTTGACATATAAACATCATAATTTTACGAGATTATCCACATAAAATGAAAACAAAGAAGAGACTAACAGAAAGTTCAAGAGAAACAGAGAGATAAGAATAAGTAGTTGGTGCCTGTGCAAGCCTCGTATAAGCTATTTTCTGTCTTTATGTGAAATCTTAGAAGGCAATAATAATGTTGTCCATAAATTTTTTGCTAATTTTCAACATCTTTTTTCTCATAATTTTTGCCTAACATTTTTTTTTCTAAACTATGAGCTTTAACTAGTCTTTAATTTCTGGTTTAATGTATTTTATTACAGTTGAGATTTTTGTGATTAATATATTCTTGGGTATAATTTATAATTATTTTTTTTGTTTGTACTCTCAGTTAACGTGAAATTACTTATAATTGGGCTACAAGTATTTTTTAATTTTCAACGATTGATCTCTGTCCAAATTATTATTATATTTTTATTGATTAAAAAATATTAATTAAAATTTAGAATTAAAGTGTCCACCCTAAATTAAATTACAGCCTCCATTACTAATCTGCAATGCCAATATAATATAAATCTTTAATCGTGTTGAATTTGTTCTTGTATCTAAAATTTTGTATGTAACCTTCGACATACTTTCGTGACGTCACAACCGATGCATCTCAAAAACCTACAAATAGATGGTTAATACTGCAACCCTGTAGCACATGAGAAATCTAGT